TCCACTAGGAGAGAAAGGTAGAGCAGATGAAAAAGAAATGGGTCTTTAAGTGTAGAAATTCCATCTCAGATTCCAGCAAACAGTAAAAGGTAGAAGGCAGAGCTTTTCTCATAAAAGACAGTTTCTTAAAGATATCACACAGGAGAAGTGACAAGGTAGGATGGACTCGAGTGATTTGCACTTCTTTTCAGTGAGTTCATGACTCTGAGAGTACTACTTCACTTTCTCTCTGATGAGCTGTGTGCCTGGGTACAATATTCTGCACCCATTGATAGTTATGGGAGATGGTTCATGAGATTTAGCTCTCTAAACAACATTACACACCTTCTCTCTCCTGTGAGAACTCTAGAATAGAATACAAGCAACAGTCTGTCACTTCTCTCAGCATATTTTTCCTGTGAAAATATTGGCTGCACATACCAAATCACCATGGTATGAGATTATACATATATAATATTTTCTTTTCAAGGCTTCAGGAATAATACAGAAGAGAAAGCAAAAAGACAGATGCCCAATTGACAGATCTGGCAGAACTATCTAAGTGATTTTCATGGCTCTTCCACAACCACACAGAATTACACGATCACTGAAGTTAGAAAAGATATCAGGAAATCATCTAGTCCAGCCCCAACTCAAAGGACTGTCAGCTACAGCTGGGACCATTTGTAGCCAGGTTTTTAACACATCTAAGGCACAAGACTACAAAATATTTTTAAATGCCTTCACAGTAAAAAAAAGTATTAGTTTTTAATGTTTCCATGTCCTTCATTTCGATTTATGCTCATTTCCTCTTCTCCTTTTGCTGAGTACCACTGAGAAGTCTGGCTTCATCTTTTTTACCCCCTCTCACACCAGGCACTCTGAGCCTACCTTCACAAGTGAGAGTTATTTAGTAGTTGTCGCAGCTCCTTCAGTGAACTCACTCCAATATACCCACATTTTTCTTACCAGGGGAAAAGTTTTGCACAGCAGAGTTTTTAGGCACCTAATAGCTTTAAGATAACTTTGACATCAAACTTCAGAAGTATTTTGCTGTCTGTTCTGAGTACATGATTTGTAAATGCTCAAAAAGTTAGGTGGGAACAGAACAAGGTCAGTGTATAAAAAAGATATCATGATACTGTGTCCATTTATCTGCCATTGTAGTAATCACAATTCTCAAAAACCTGCTTAGCTCCTCCAATCCACAGAGGACTGGACACGCTTTGGTGACCTTTATAGAAGCTGTCAGAATACAACTTTCTTCCAACTGACCCAGTTACAACTTATTCAGAGTTTGGCATTCTCCATGGAAGAACAAAAATGAAGGAACATTTTGGTTACATTTAGATTAAGTTTTTAGGTTTGCAACTGCAAAATAGAGCTTCTGCTTTTAAATAAAATGGAGTCTAAAGTCTTAGAAAAGATAATTAAAATATCTTGCAGACATAGTTCTGGGATGTTCCATTATCTGTAAGTATAGCTAAGGGTTTGTTTGTGAGAAGGTGTCTGTAATTTAAGACTGAATGGTCTGAGCCCTGGACACTTATTCTCGGCCCGCAGCAGTGGGTATCTCAGGTCAGCTTAGCTTCTGACAGACCCTTCCTCACTCAAACCTAATATCAGTGGTTGAAAACTGCAATGATTCCCAGGAGAATGCTGGAATATGCAGTGTTAATGAAACACGATGAGAAGATGAAAAACTAGGGAGAGGGAAGTTAATGAGGAAAACCAAGGGCTGGTCCCTTGTCCAGCCTCAAGGGACAAGGAAGGAAGAGCATAAATAAAATGAGATCTTTAAATCTGCAGTGTGAATTTGAATTCACTTCAAATTCTTCAGAATTAATATGGGCAAGTTTCAGGAGTAAGAGTAATATTTAAAGTATTGGCAACTTCAAGAGACACAGTAGGGATAAAAGTGCATGAAGAGACAGGAAAGATTGCCAAAGGTATCTTTTGAGACAAAGGAAGTCACTGTGATTTACTAAGCAACAAAAAACAATGCAAAATGATGCTACAGAAGAATCCTTCCAATAACAAATCAGATTACGAACAAAACTGATTAGATAACAAAATTTGGTGAGGATATTGGAATAGATTTTTGCCACGATATTTTGTCATCCAAATAGGAAGTGGATTCATGGTCCAAGAATTGGCTAATACTCAATCTGAACTTCCAAAGCCACAATGCGCAGTTGTTGCCCATTTTCAAATGATCTGACTGTACCAAATGGAGCTTGGGTCATCTTAGCTACAATCCTTAGAGCTAGTCATAAAACATTACTGGCCTAAAAGGCAGGTTTTGACACTTTTCCTCAGAGCTTAGCTCCTAAGTGACCACTGTAGCAGTCTTTCACTGAGCCATCTGCAGTGTATCAGCCGCCTTCCTGAACCAGAGGACCAGCTCTGGACACAGAATCAAGGGTGCAGTCTCAGCAGTTCCAAGCAGAGAGAGTCACACTTCACTCACCCCAGTGGCCACTTCCCATTTGATGGAGATGAATGGTGCAGCCTGTCATGCAGCGAGAGCTCGGGATGAGTCCCAACCAGCCTGGCTGCCCCCCACAAGCCCCAAAAGCCCAGGGGCTTTCCAGCCGGGCTGCTCTGTAATTCCTCAGCCTGCTCCTATGCACAGGATTACCCCACCTCAAATGCAGATATCTGGGTTTCATCCAAGCTGATGACAAAGCTGGCAATCAGTCTGACTCTTCTGAGGGCCAGCACAGTGTTCCTGCCACACTCAGCTAGTAGCACAGCAGCCTCAACCACAGCTGCTATTATTGGAATTCTGAAGCAATAAATGCTTCCCTTTCCACTTTCCCTTCAGCACCACTCTACTCAAATCCTAATACTTGGTGACCTTCACATGTACTTACACATGTTATATTTAAACTCAGAAGATGCTTCTGACACCTCCTGGCTTTGCTGCAGATGCACTTCTATTGCCATGACATTTTCTTCATGACAGTTTTCTTTCCCTCAAGATCTAACAGAACAGGGGTTCAGAAATATGTTCCCATGATAGTTCCAATAACCAGTAATCACCCTTGGGTAATGGGTGATGACAGCAGTATTTGTATTCATATGATGGGAGTATAATTTGTCCCCTAAACAGTGTGAAAGCTCACATTCCTCAAGTTCAGTGTTGCAAGTTCAGGAACTTGTACTGAGCCTCATATTCAAACTGAAGGACTGGCCAAGTGTCTGTGTGCTCACAGACATCCGTGTATGTAAACAAACTGCTCTGAGTGTCTTAAAAATTATTACAAGAAAAAACTTCTACCTGGTTAAAAAAAAAGGTTCCAGTAGGACTGGTCACCTTCCCTTTGGAATAAAGCAGATCAGAGAAATTTGTGTGTATGTTTTCAAAGCAGTTTCCTCAATTACACATAGAACATAAATGAAGACACCAACTATCTGGCAGATTTCCAAAGGAGCTCAGGACCAAAACATTCATGCTTATGCTGGAAACTAAGAGACTGGAAGGCTTTCCCAGTATCTCTAAAACATCAGCACCACGTTCAAGGATGAGCAGTCAGGTATCATCTGTGTTGACAAAGAGGTGGAGGAGGACAAGAATAGGTGCCAGGGTAAGTCATGCAGTATCTGAAGCTTAGGGGAGAAGGATATATTAAATCTCTGCCTGCCAACTTTGCTAGTTGCCGAGTGCTTTTGAAAATCTGATGCCTCATTTAGCTGACTAAAGAGTGATTGAGCTGTACCAGAAATACAAACCCAGCTGTCAGAGAAAACTGGAAAATATGTTCTGGAGTAGTTTTTCAAAATCAAATTCTTTTTCTCTATATAGAACACTGGTTTATTTTAAAAATGTTTAATTAGGCTAAGTTTAGTTGTGTGTATCACCTGAAAATAGAAAAGACACACTAAAACTATGCAGGTTAGTCCAAATGCATGCTGACTGAAACTTCATGGGCTCACTAACCACCAGATATTCACACCATAGCAGAGAAAAACATTGTGACAAAGATTGCAGAGGCATTATATTTTTATCTGCAGATTATTTTTCCCCTTACCCTTTCACCTAGAAACTGAAGTACTTGGTGAGGAAGAGGCCCATAGCCCAAGATTATGAGAGTAGCTTTGGAATACTTGGCAATGACTAGAGATGTTTTCATATTTGAAGGGTTTTAAGACTTTCAAAAGCTCTGTGAATGTCACAAAAAAAGGGGGAGATGAACTGCTTCTACCTCTGTCATTACTTAAGTCTCATGCCTAGAAGGTGTGAAATTAAATTTTACTATACAAACACAGGAGGTGTGGATGATTACTGAAAAAATTAGCAGTGATGTGGAGCTAATGAAAGAACTTGAGGTGTCAAAATAAATGTGAGATGAAAGGAATAGGGGCAAATCAGAAGCTTTTGAAAGACTGAGTGATCAAATGGCTCTGCAAAGTGTCGCACAGAGGTCCAGTTTCAGTCTGTATGGAACGCGTGTCTGAAACATATTCTCATATTCTGAAACCACTTCATATGGTTCCATTGTGCCCTACATGGCATATTCTCATTGCCACTTGACATTTCAGCATACCACACACCTTCTGCTTCCCTAGGTTTCTTACTTATTGCTGTGCGACTTATTACAAATTCCTGAAATCTAGTGTATACCTACTGATCTGTTTCTGAGCAAGAATTTGTGAGGGTCGTTCAAGTAAAAAGGAGGAATTCACCTCTTTAATTTTCTTGGCCCCACCTCCTCATCCCCATGGGGCAGGAGAATGATTTTGCTCTCTACTCTCTAATTCATATACTCTATTTCCATTCCCCCACCCCCAGGAATATTTCCACCTCCTGTGTGCCCAGGGACCTCCTGGTTTTTGGCAGTACTTCATGGTATGTCAGTATTCCAGAGGTCAGCTGAGGATAAACTCTAATTGAAAAATATTAAAATAGGCTGCAAGGGACAAAAATTCAAAACCCCAAATCCATCAAAATCGGCTACTGATGAAGCATCTGAGCTGGCTACGTCCTTAAAATATGCATCAAAAGTAATCTTTCAAACCTCTTCTTCAGGTCTCCATTGGCACCCCCAGAGGAAATAATTTCATACTGTTCAGAGAGCAGCAATCCTGTTCTGGTCCTTGAAATCCTTCGAGCAACACACACCCACACACCAGCATTATTTTCTCACCTCCTCCGTATAAAAACAAAACAGAAACGTGAGAACAGTGGGCTGGAGATGGAGCTGCGGAAAGTGAAGTTGGAAGGATTAATTATGTAATACGCCCCCTCTCCCGCCCTTACCCACAGCAACACGAGTGAGGTAAACCCAATCCTCCCAGCTGACAACTCAGAACTAGAAAGTGCCCGGAGGAGTGAAAGCAAAATAAACGTGTGGGGAAGGTGGCGATGCACTCCTACAGAGGAAGATGTCATTAGGAAAAGGCTAAAAACAAGTTCAAATCACCTTTAGCCTCTTCCCTTCCCTCCCCAGCGAGACCTCTCCCTCCGCCTCTTCCCCTCTCCTCCCCCCAGCTCCTCCTCCCCCCTTTTCAGCAGGAGCTGCCGCCGGATCGGGACTATATTCCTACAGTTCACGGCTCTCTGACGGAGCGTGGATCCTCCCGAAAAACTTCAAGTAAAACAGGAGCTGGGAGAACACACACACGAGGAGATATATTAAGAAAGCAGGTTTGCTACTTAACTCGGAGGAAAGAAGCTGGAGCAGACTTCTTCGGTTGCTCTCTAAGAGCCTTGCCGAGAGTCCTTGCAAAGAGAAGTGTTGCTGATTCAAAAGAAGAGGAGGGATGGGGAAGAGAAAAAAAATTGTGCATGTCTGTGTGAGAGGGAGACAACGTGTGTGCGCGTACGTGTGAATGCGTGCTTGTGTGTGAGAGGGTGTAGGCGACGGGTGGGGGGAGCTTGAAATTTTATTTATTTTTTTTTTTCTACGAAAGACACGTGAATGCAATTCCCAGTGAGGGGCACCAAGCTCTGCCCAAGAGCAGAAGGGGTAGGGAGAGGGAAAGGGAGAAGAGAAGGAAGGGAAGGGAAAAGGAGAGGGAAGGGGAGAGGGGGGGAGGAGGGAGGGAGGGAGAAGGAGGAGGAGAAGGGATTTCTATTTCAGAAGACATTCATAGAAAGAGGGTGGCAAATTCTGTGACCGTCTTTAAAGGAAGTGTCCTGGGACGTAGAGAGAAAGAACGAAGCCCAAAGAAGGAAAATAAAGGGCTATGATTTCCTTGTCCTGTTGCTTTGTCTCTGGCTCCCTCTGCCTCTGGAAGAGTAGCCACAGGACACAAAGATGCCCAGCTGGTCACTGCACGCCCAAGTTCAGTTTAGCTGGTGCTTCTCTCCTGTTTAGCCTGACTGCTTTCTCTGAAGGGGAGGACTCATAGCCCGACAGCCTTTTAGTTTAACCTGAAGAGTGTGTGCCGCCTCTCTCTGCCCACCCCAAGAACTCGCTGGAGGTGGAGGAGAGGGGAGAAAGAGGAGGACTTGAAAGTGCCTGAGGAGCTCCCGATGCTAAGAGGAGACAAACATTCCTGTGGACGACGGAGAAAGGACAAAGCTGACTGATTTATTGCTGTTTTCCATATTTTTTTTTATCTCCCTGTCCTTTGGCGCACACCAGTGTTTGGAGATCTTTGAAAACACAAACCAAAACACCAGCCCCGAAGCCCCAACCCCTTGGCTAGCTCTTATGGGAATGAAACACTCCTCCCGCTGCCTGCTCCTAAGGAGGAAAATGGCGGAGAACGCTGCCGACAGCACCGAGGTGAGTAAGGATGCGAGCCGGGGCCGGCGCCGCGCTCCCCCAGCCCCGAGCCCTAATCCCCGGGCAGAAGCAGCAGGAAGTGCGGAACAACTTTCCCGGCCCCTCCGGCCAGCTCCTACCTGCCGTGCTGCTGTGGTTTCCTGCATTCGACCCCCCCTCCCCCCCATTCTCGCCCCCCGGCTCCCTCCGTTCCCCCTGGGCAGGGAAGTTTGCCCGGCGCCAGCGCTCGGGGCCGCCCGGGGCCGCCGCTTCCCGGGAAGTTGGGCGGCCGTGCGGAGCGCCGGCTCCGGGGCAGCGGGGGAGGGCGGCGGTGATTCGGGTGCTGGGCACGCCGAAAGGGACAGACGGTCTCTTGCGGCAGCACCTTGGCCAGCTCCCCGTGCTTTCCGCCGGCAGCCTTGGCTGGGATCGTTTGGGGCCACTTTAGGAGCATCCGCGTCTCTGCAGCATCCTGGATATTACCAGAGCGGAGCTGCCCGAGGTGGGGGCTGTCCGGCTGGCCTGGGCAGTGCCGAAAATAGCTTTGCACTGCCTTCAGGCCGGGAGGGTACCCTGCGAGGTCTCAGGTTTTCTGCAAGAAATCCACCCCATCCCTGCCGCTCCCCCACCCGTTACCTTCTGCTTCCTCAACATTGGGGTTGAGCAGCCCCTGTTTACTTGTCTGGGGCTGTCTTGACCTCACTGAGACTTCTCAGGGCATACAGCAGTGTGCGAAGTCTCAGGTCTGGAAAAGCAGAAGGATGCAGGATGCAGTCCCAGCATCTCTGCGAGCATGTGAGAAGGAGACAGGCGAAAGTGCGAGCGTGTGCCAAACTCGCTGTTTCTATTAATAGACTGTGCCTAGCACTCTGACTGAACACTTAACACATGCTTTAGCAAGATGCAGCACAGCCATGTACAGACCCCACGGACACTGCAGCCCAAACAACTTTACAGCTTTGCCCTTGCAGGGGCAGCACTGAACCTTCTCCCCAGTTACCCCACAGAGGGAATAAAGAGCAAGACCTACTGTGAACACATGACTATTCCATTCTTTATTATTTCCACATCTCTGCCTAATGCCTCCTTCTTTCAGTTAGTCCTCCCAGTAGGTGTCCTGCTCGCTCATGAATTCCATCCACATTTCTCTTCACAGTAGTGTTCTCTCTGCTTGACCTTCATAAATGTGCCTCCTTTGCCATGCCAGGTGAAGAGCCAAATTTTCTTAAATGAATATGATGTAAGCACTAAATCTAAGAACGTGCCTGCTACTGCACTACAACCCATAGAGTACTGCTTGCAGAGAGGCATCTATAAATAGCAAGAAGTCTGGCTGCACATCTGTAAACTGTCGTAGTCCTGACAGCACATATTGCATTATAGGTCCCAGGATCCCAGGACAGGATTGCAACAAGAAATGTACAAGCACAGACAGTTCCTTTCAAAGCCATTTTTGTCAATGGAAATTGTTTTTAGCCAGGGAAAATAGGTGAAAAGAGCTTTTTAAAGATTCCTCTTCTATTTCATTCACTCTTAGCACATTTTTATTGTTTAATCAATTTTTCCTGCTTGTGTAATGCTGCACACGCTGCAATGTCATTTTATGGAGAAAGATTTTTTAAAATAAAAACAGATTCATTCCAATGCTGCATACAGGTTAGGAGAATATTAAAACGCTGTGCTTCGTCTCCTCAGAGTATCCATCAGTGACAGACTTGTGAAATGAGAGTGAAAATATTGCAGATTAGGCATATCCTGCTCCACTTCTACCTTCAGAAAATCAGAAGGGATACATTTGTAACCTCTGCCTGGATATTTTTTATTTTAGTAATGTTCATATTTCTGATATGGACTGAGAGCAGTTGTCTGTCTGCATATGTGCAGAGGTAGAAGTGCACCAAGCAAAATATGCCAAGACCTGTGAAGCTCTTTTACTCATCAAGCATCTATATTTAGCAAAGCCATATGATACCAGTTTGACCTTCAAACCTGTATTTCTCTAACTTTCTCCTGAAGTTAACAAATAGGTGTGACAGAAGGAATACAGGACAAAATATCTCACTTTTGGACTTAACACAGTGTCAGAGAAAATCAGGAACTGGTATAAATTTTCTTCATTTGAAATAAATGGGGTACCAGTAGTACTCATTATTTGATATTAAATTCCTGAAGAATTTTGATGTCACAGTCATATAGGCATGATATAAACAGAACCAGCAGTAATGAGAGATGAAGAATTAAAACATTTAACAACTTGTCAGAATGCCGTACTACCAAATTATTCCAAAGACCTTCTGGTTCTTGCTTAGATTGATTTGACCCAATTTACTTGTGTTACAGCTTCATAGTATATTTTTCATGTTTCAGGGTTGGTTTTTTTTTAATTAACCACAACTGAGAGCATTTATTCAAAGTTGTGGTCAAATATGGTGAGTAAACTCTTTCAGTTGTAGGGCAGTTTAAAACTGGAACATGTTTTAGTTCCATGTCAAGTCAAGGAACATGGACACTGCATGAAAAACTTTGTATTCCCTTGACTACCCTCTGTTGCCCATGCTACCTCTTCAGCTTAAAGAGCTTCAAGAAATGATGAGAACAGGCACAGACAAGGAAAAAACAAAGCTACAGTAAGACAGCACTCACTGTTTCCTTAAGCAAAAATACAGAATAGAAAAGCAATTGCTCACTAGCATTACTTTCCAGTCAAGGAAGACATCTCGTGTCACCAGGAAGCTTAGAGGGGTGTGCTCCCATGGTCCCAGATGTACAGACATTCACATCACTGGTATCCCCACAGCCTTAAATCTCTATACAAAACATGGTCAAGTGAGTCCAAGTGTTGCCACAGGTGCTGTTGGGCCTTGGATCAGAATATCAGAACTACCAAAATGGTTTTGCAGTTTATTTCACAGATAACAGCCTGATATCAGTCTATCTGCCAGAGTTTACGTAGGACCAGTGGTTTGTTGTATGTGTTTATAGTATCCTGAGAATACACAGTGTTTTATATAAAAATAAGAGTCAAGGGGGAAAAAAAGCCTAAGATTTTTCTATTTAGACCCTCACTAAATGCCACGGGGTCTCACTAATAGGAAACTTGCCAGAATGGTTTCAGATCCATGGTTGTAGCACACAAGGAAAAAAGATGCAGAAAATCTTTACACCCCATGGCCATTGCATGAATATTAAGAGGTGTTCCACCAGAACAAAAGCTTGAGAATCTCTCCTCAAGACACTAGAATGAACCTCTGTATCTTTAGTCATGAAAGGAGGCTTGTCTAAATAAAACAGGACTGTTTGCATAAATAACAGATGCAGAATTGCATTCTCTGCAAATAATTAAAGACACTCTGACAGAAAGAAAAGAGAAACTATTCTTTGTAGAACATACACACAAAGGTTCTGCAAAATTCATGGTGCTGACCTGCTGTAGATTTTGGGTTCTGGGTTTTTTAAATTTTAAATGTGTTATTTGAAATCCTAATCAATAGTAGGCCTGATATCAGTGATGGAGAAAAAATGATTTCACAAATGTGCCT